CAGGCCATCCCAACTGCATGTTTAGCACTATATCTAACTAATATCCAAATTGGCGGTTTTCTTTTTGTTAAAACTTTTCTCTCATTCTGAACCTATGCAGATAAAATTAATGAAAAGAAAACAAAACTGTTAACACTAGGGCCATGTTAATATCAATGTTATGACAATAAAGCCTGTTGCCAGGAAGGTCAAAAGTGAGGAGGCAGTTTTTATACATGACCTCCCACAGATTCCCAAGATATAGTCTCTTTTTGAGGATCTTAAGTTATCATCACTTTGTTTTGCATAATAATATCTCTATTCCTTGATTTTAAAATGTAGACAGTATTTACTTTTTTCTTTGAAAGATAAAGAGAAATTTACATTTTTACAGCTTCTCTTATTTCTCTTCCATTTTGATTTACACACATACACACACAGGTGCACATATACTTTAGCATTGCTGAGGTTTGTAAGTCACATTCTCTTCTTTAACGATAGTAACTATTATAACGTATAACATAAATATATATTGTATGTATGTTGTTTTAAACATAAAAATACCATTCTCTACAGACTTTTTAGTTGTCGAAGCAGTCATATAGGAGGGTATATAATCCTATTTTACTAGATCCCTGTGGCTTAAAGGAGAATGATACAAATGACAATATCCAAGAGATTTTCTTAATTAATTTTAGCCTTTTTACTTATTCCTCTGGGTATTTATTACAATTTTATTGCTGGTTCCTTTTCCTGTGTTTAGCACAAAAATTTTTCCCATCTAATTTCAGTTGGTGCTTAGGTAGACATATTTGCTTGCCATCTTGTACCAGAATGGTTGGAAATATGAAACATGAATTTGGAATTTAAAATCTTCAGCTTTGGGCTTCCTCATATTTTTTAGTATTTGGCATAAAAATTACTGAATGAACCTGTTTCAGACAACTACATCTTATATATCTTAACCAGGGTTGGAACTGCCAACTACTCTTTCCTTCTATACCAAGATTTCATAAAATAGAATGTAGCACTAACTGTTCTAACTACTAAATCAAGAAATTCTGCTCAGAGGATACCCTCAGGCTTGAAAAAAACTTTAAGAGGAAAGAGCCTCTGCCCATTTTAAGCAGGCGCAGCAGCAGCAATAACTCTTATAGTCTTAAAAAGAGTTGTTTTTTTTTAATTTTCTTTCGGGTAAACCAGCTTTGCTTTGGCCCATTTAGAACTAATTGCTACTGCCATTTCTTTGTAGGCCACGAGTTGTTTGTGTTCCTTGCAACCTCCTGTTTAGATATACCCTTGGCATGTAGAAATAGTATGGGTCTGTCACTTAATTGTCGTTGACTTAGCGTGGTAAGCAGTACAGTGTTCAGTGTTTCAGAGTGACTGCCGTGGGTTTTCCTCACTGTTCTCTTAGGGAACACCAAAAAGGCAAAGAACTTTAAGGTCTTTGTCTCAATGCTTATCTAGCCCATAATAGTCTAATCACAGTGTACTGGTAATGTCCTCAAGTAAGCTCTTTGGAACAATGAGACCATTGTGAACTCTACCTGTTGTAGATATTATCATGAGCTTATAAATGTCTCACACATTGGTTTCCACTTGAACACAAATAGAAGTATAGGTGATGGAAGTTATTTTTTCCTTTTTCTTTTTGATAGCTGTTTAGCTTGCTTTATTCTTCTTAAAATTACAACATTTAGATGAATATTCCATTAGTAGCAGTGCTCAGTTATACTAATGTCTATATAGTCCAGAAATTTTTCTTTTCATAGGCAGTCAACATTAGAAACAAAGCGAATTTTTCATTCTTTGTTTTTAATGTAATAAAAATGTGCCAGCTTCTGAAACTGGGCAATTTTATCTTGAGGATGCATTGTATGTTTGTACTGTTCTCCAAAGGTGCTATTAGCTGATCATTGTATTCTACAGTTACAGAAAATCGATTGTCTTGAAATGTGCAATTTTTAGATGTGTATTTATAAACACTTCAGAGAGTGTCTTTGACAATTAGGAATTGAGCAAGACTATTCAGAAACTTTATAGTTACTTTTTAAAATATAATGTTTTTAACTTTTGCAGTATATGCCCTAATATATATTTTTTAAAATGTAAGCCTGATAAGTGGAATGAATTTGATAAGAAAGCAGATTTTTCTCTTTTATTGGGGAATGCCTAAGACCATTACGTAAGAACTTAGTAGGATATGATTTTTAAATTTCTAATACTATTTTACTCTTAAATTATTTCACAACATACTACTTAATATATTATTATTTGAAAGGAGGTTTTAACTATTAAGAAATCTTAGATTTTAAATTATCAATCATGTAGTCTTTGCCTAAACTTAACAAAGAATTTAAACTCTCACACTTTGAGATTTATCAGGCCACTCAAAAGCTTTCGAATGTCAGAAAGTAAATTTTGTACATAATTCTTTAAAACCCATAACTAATAGAGTAGAAATAGGATTTACTCAAATTATGCTACTAACCTAATTATGAGATTAACCTAAAACATGGCACATCAGTCATTAATCAGCAAACAAGTAATTCATCCATTTGACAAGTATTAGTAACCTGGTATGTGTCAAGTACTGTTTTAACATTGACTTTTAAAAATGATTTCCTTTAAATTATTCTGCTTTTAATGTTAATTACCAAATTTTATATTTGTCACTTTGGAAGGAGTTAATTACCTTAAGTGGCAATTTCTGAACTATTGGGAGGACTCAATTCAATATTCAGGTAAGACGCCCCTTCTTATAATTGTGTGGCACTTAAAGGTTCATAAAATAAAAATAAATGCTTATATTTTTTATGACAAAAATACAGTTTAAAAGAATTTTTTTAAATAAGAAATGTTACCATTCTGATATTTCTAAATATCTGAAAGTTCTAACTAAGTACCTTTGCTGGTGACTGAAATTTATGACTAAAATTTATGAGAACAGTTTTGGTTCAGTATAGTTAAATGGATTGCTTATAATGTTACATATTTTCTCTGCATGCATATGTTTTACATGTCCTCCTTTATATATATGAAACTTACTTCTGAGAGTTGACCTTATTTCCAGCTTTGTTCTTTGCAGAATTTTAAGGTTAAGGTTTTTAACGTAAACACTGAAACCTGAGGTATAGACATTAATAAATCTGTAAACCAGATAGTGGTTGGTGCAGTTGAAAGTATAGGACCTCTCTTCGCCTCAATTTTGACTAAGTCAGAGCCAAACTCCATAGCACTACCATTTCTCTGGTTCAGGCTGTCACCATCTCTTGCCTGAATTACCACAGTACTCTTCTGACTTTTCCCCCTGCTTTACTTCTTGCTGCCCTCTCTCTGAGCCATTCTCTACACAGTTTAGTTATTTTCTTAAAGGAAACTAGATCATTCTGCTCACTCTCTCAGAACCCACACATGATTTTCTTTTGTGCTTAACATAAAATTCAAAATATTTTTCTTGGTTTTCAAAGTCAGGCATATGCTGATTTCTGTCAAGCCTGCCAGCTTTGCTCTTCACCATTGTTATTCCCTGTCTTGAATGCCTCTGTCCCCACCCTTTACTTGGCTAACTCTACTCATCCTTCAGATTTCAGCTTAAAACTCCATTTATCCATCTTTTTCAGATGTGTTGCTCCTTTTTGGCATGGTTAAGGAAAGCCTCTCTTTGGAGGTGACTGGCATTAGGGCCGATCCTAAATGATGGACGGAGCTTCCACATGCAGATCTATAGAAGGAACAGTGAGTGCAAGGTCTGAGGCTACAGCTGCCTTCAAAACCACATGAGACTCAGCTTGCTAAAGCATTTAGACAAGAGTCTCCACACAGAGTCAAATAATTCAAAGATTTTTCATCAACTGAGGCATGCTTTGCAAGAAGCAAATCACACTATAAGTCATCGAATCTCATTTAGATTCCTAGACAGGTTTCAAAAGTACTTGCAACGCCACTGGCTTGGCTCAGCAGTGTATTAATTAGGACTCAATGACTCATATACAGGGTGCCCCATATTTGTTTTCCTCTTGGGCAAGAAGCATCATAGAGTACAAAAAGTGTCCATTACAATATCAGTGAGAATTGGGCCCCAATCCCAGCTCTCTCACATATTGTCTGTCAAAGTTGGGCAACATTTTTCTTTGCACTGAGCCATTCTCCAACCTGGAAGGCTGTAGTGTGGATTAAATGACTGACCTGTAAGGCACCTACAAAGCAAATGCCTAAAAATGATTCTGATCCTTCTCTGCATATAATATTTATCTTTAGAATAAAGTTCTCAAAGGGACATCTATTTTAAGACTGCTTTATGTCAACTTAGAAACTATGTAATATTATATATGCAAACTTTTGAAAAGAAACAATGGATGAGCATATTGACCAGAATCCTTTGATGGCTTCTTGTGTGAAAGTAGAAAGAGAAAAATGATTTTGTTTCTGAGGCAAAGGTAAATGTTATAGAGAATATAATGTCTTCCAGTTTTTATTTGACCTTTTTATTCTCTATGAAGGCACAGTCTTAAAGAATGTGGAAAACTTCAAAAACAGAATAGAAGCACTCATATTGACTCATGGAGACCTTTACAGCTTTCTGTTTACCCAGTGTTTTGTTTTTCTGTTTGTTTTATTTTTAAGCCCTAGATAACAAAATATCAAGAGTGGAATTGGGAGGCAGCCTTTCATATCAAAGGGCTAGAATAAAATCTTTGGTCAGAGTGATTCCACGTAAATAAATGTTAGTCATGTGCCATAAAGGAAAGGGAGCATGTTCCGATTTCATTTCTGTTGTTGATGTTTTATGTTTTAATCCTGCCACAGGTTTTGTATTAAAAACTTGTTACATTCATCATCATACTCAAAGAAATTTTTAGTCTTAAAGAGAGCAAATCCAGTAGATTTATGTAGCTCTTCCCTGGCCTGAATGGAGCAATGGTACATTTTTTATTTCCATAAAGAATTTGTCAAAAGTACCAAATACCAAGATAATTGTTTGCTTTTGTTTATTTTCTCCTCCTCTTTTTTCCTAGGATTATGACAGTTTTTTTGAATCAAAGGAAAGCAACACAGTCTTTTCATTCTTAGGCCTGAAATCACGGTTGGCATCAAAGGTAGGTATATCTTTTCCTATTTTAAAATTCACCTTTCTTGAATTGTTCTTAGTTGTTCTCAATCGAGGTTGAAGATGTTACAAGAATGTATATATAGTCTCCTAAATATTTAGCTTTCGCATTTTCAGATGCACAATTAGAGACTGCTCAGGGCAAAAACACCAAAAGAAGCCCAGTTTTTTCTTTCCAGTTTTCAATTGTTGCTGTATATTAGAGTTTATTTTTATTTGTAATTTAGTTTATTTATAATTTATACCCCCTTCTTCCAAGAAGATTTAAGGTAGCAAAAGTTAGTAGGTGCTTTCTATTTTAAAGTGCAAGTTTACTTTACTTTATGTTTTTTGAAATAGCATCAAAGTCATATTTTTAAACTCTTTTGCACATTTAGCTCATTTATATTGGAAGGGAGATAATCTGCAATAACCAATGGTCAACATTGAAAAAAACAGTGTAATTCCTAAACTAATCAAAACATTTTTAAACCCACTTTATTATGTCAGTGTCTTTTAGAAAACATAAAAGGCTTTTCTGATATTTAGGCCTAGAAAGAATATATGTCACGATTTTGTGAAGCACATGGATTCACTTTCAAAATAAAAAATTAGCATTTCCTTGTTAAATAAGGTAATATTTTGATTATTTCCCCTTTTGAAAAACATTTTTTTTTCCGATTATGAAAGTAGTCTAAGCTTATTTAGAAAAATTAGATAAATATAAAAAGAAGTGTAAGGTAGAAAATAAAAATCACTTATTATCCCACCACCCAGAGATAACCACATAACATTTTTGGTGTACTTCCTTGCAATCTTTAGATACATAGAAATTGAGGTCTTGATTGTTTTCGAATTGAGACTGAATTCTAGTGTCTATTTTAACACTAAATTGAAATGAAAGTACATTACTGGGATCTTTCATGTCTATAATAGGTCTTTTGAGGCTACCCAGGATTTGTACCATTTCTGGAACACCTGTGGGAGGAAGGCAGTTACTATCAATAATATAAATTATACACCAGCACCTGTAGTTCATAGCCGATGTGAAATCCTGCTTTGTTTTTACATCAGTAAGTCCACAGATGGTTGTGGGTGGTTTCCATGCACATGTTTTAAACAGAGGGAAAACCCACACATAATATTAAAAGGTTCTTAAAACTATTTTTATAAAGATAGAACATCGAAATACTTGTTAGGAAAATTATAATATTTTTATAATGTGTTTCATCTAAAGATATTAAACAATCTAGATTTATCTTCAAAGAACTGAAAAAAAAATGTGGTAGGAGTAATCTAATGGATGCATAAATCCAGTGAACATCAACATCTATGCAAAAACCTTTTAAAAAAATATGTCTCATTTGCTTTCTTTGCTCTCATTTTCCCTGAAGATATAGATTCCTTAGAGATTCTGTGGGCTGACTTTTACTTTTTAAAAATATTTATTCTCTCAAAAATTTCTCAGGAAACCTATAATCTGTAAAATATGCATTCTCACATGACTCGTGGTCATAATATTAAAGTTGGCCTTGATGCCATTGATGTTTACTTGATTTCAGCAGACCATTCTCAAGGCAGTAGTGGCTCTGTGCATTCCCACCCAGTCAGCCCACCATTTTCAGGTGCTTGAGTCAGTCATATCTGCCTGGGAACACGTGGAACCAGAGTGGAAGTCCATGGTGCAGTGTTTGTGCCACCCTCTCTCATGAACCATTTGGGGCCTTAAGGGTTAATAGCAACTCATACTTCATCTTCACAGGAAAGAAATAAAATTATCTTTAAGAGCAATTCAGCATTGCCCTCCTTTCTAGTTATTTATTTTTTACCTTGGTGGTAATTCATTGTACGATCTATACTCTAAGGCCTAGACAGAGCATTCTCAAGTGTAATGTACCACAAGATGGAAGCCCCGTTTTCTTGTCTCCTTTCCTAACCCCTCAGCAGTATACACACATAAAAGACAGGGCTAGAAAGCCTGCCAGGAACTTACAAAGACACCATTAGTATCTGTAATTGCTCTTACACAGTGAGGAGAGAGAAGAGAAATATTAGGAAAAGAACGTTCATTGACCCAAAAGGCACAGGTGTAGTGCAGACTCTGGGCAGTTTTCAAATGTAGAAAAGGGCTCAGGAAGGTGGGAGGTCACAAAATGGTGGCCTCTGGGCCAAATTGGCTCTGGATGTATTTGTCCTGCACAGGATTTTTAAAAGAATTTAGACGGGTTTCTAATATGTAAAATACAAATTCCTCATTTTTCTGAAGAAGTCGGAAAGTAAGGAAACCCAGGGGAGCCCACTTTCTCCTGTGGCTGGCTGGAGCCAACAGTGGCTGGCCCACCATGATGCCTACCTCAGAGAAAAAGAGGCCTTTACTAATAATTTTCAGGTAGAAAACCATCAGGTTTGTTATTTTAAGAGACTCAAAGCAGGGCCAGAAGTAGAGGTTTCTACTTTCAGATCCCTGCCATTCAGTAACAACTGGTAAACCCTGGGCTCTGACCAGCCAGGGCTGGAGTAGGTCTCAGAGGCCCCCTTATGCAAGGTGTCTGTTTAGTGGTTGAACCATGGAGCTATCATGCAGAGAGGGGCCAGTGTAGCACTTGGCAAATTGGCGCAGCAGCTGTTTACCAATAGGTATGGCCATACCAGTGCTATTCATCTTGGGTCACCTTCTACAGGCCTCCTCACCCTGGTGCAAGTGAAACAGTACCTCAGAGAAGTCTGGGCAGTTGTTGAAAACATGTGGCTTTCTGTCCACTTTTATATTTGGCAGGTCAGGTGTGTTTCATTTAAATCTGGGCTCTGAACCTGAAACCCAGGATTTGTTCTTAGCAAGCACATGGGGGTGATTTATTGTGATTTCCAACATCTCTGTTGCTGGCATTTAAAATATCACTGCCAGGGTGAATGTTCTTGTCAGCACAGTACAATAACTGACCTTTTTTTTTCAATAGGGAGAACCTTAGAGAAGACAAGTAGAAGATGACGGAGATGCATTTTGGAACACTCCCCTGGTACTCAGCACACACCTGCTTACCTAATGCATCACTGTGACAAAAGCCACATGCTTCATCAATAACTTTGCTTGCATTTGGAAGAGGTGTTTTTGGAAGACGTGGGTATAGATTGCATGATTGCTCTAAACCAAATCAGAATTATAGTGGGTTTCTTCTTATTTTCAGAATGCCTGCAGTTGGCTCAGTCACCTAGAGGTACTGTAACCTGTTACAGGTGTGCTTTCTTAATACTGAAAGATAAGTGGGTAGCTTTATCAGAGTCAAAATGTTGAATCTGTCCTAGGTTATAGTTGATGCCAGTATTGCTCAGACCTTCTCTTTAAGCTGCCTGGATTGTGTCCTTAAAATTAGTCTGCTAGGCTGTTAGAATCTTTTGATCAGAAAGAAGAAAAAGAAATGCTGATTGACAAAGGGATGAAGATTTTTGCTGCAGAATCGAATGCCACTATTATAGTGCTTTGTAATAACATTTACAGAAAAAGTTGGATGTTCTACCCTCTTTTTGGTAATGTAAATTCTTACTCACATAAATCCTCCAAGCTTCTACAGATGTTTCCAGAAATCACTGTTGTAACAATGTGTGATAAGAACTAAGTTATAGGGATGAGAATAATTGCTGTTTTGGAAAATAGATGCTTCTTTATCTCTTGCAAGGGGGAAATTTCACCTAAATGCATAAGAGTGCTTAAAAGATACATTTTAAGAAATACACTAATTAGTAAATTTATAGGAAAAATATCTGACACATATCTGAAGACATTTTCAGCTCTAGCAACTCACGTACAGGTGCACATATATTTTTAAATGAAGCTCCCCTAATAGCTGTTTATCCTATTTTGAGAAGGGATTATATTTTTTTGAGAAAGGAAGATCTTGGTTAGATATATTTTGTGAACCCTTGATGTGGCATATTAAAAGATGCTAATACCGCTGTACACTTTAAATTTTTTTTCTGTGTTATTTTTTATTGGTTCTCTAATTTTGCAACTTATATTTCTGGCCAATGCATAGCCCCAGATTTCAGAGTAATGTAGTTACATGTTCTCATTTCATATATGAGCCCAGTGAGTTTTCAAAGCAGCATAGAGTTTATAGTTGCCAAACATGGAAACAGTCTTGAATAGGATAAACTATCAGAGGGCTGCCTAAAATATTCTGCTATTCTCTGCATCCTGATGCTGGGCCTGCCGTTTAGATTCTGAGCAGAAAGTTTGTAAGAAATTGAAAGAACAGAAGAATGAAAGCCCTGTTACATGTGTTCTCTCATCCTCCAACTTGCTTAATGTGGACTAGTCTAAAGAACTTGTTGAATGCTAACGCTGAAATCCCAGCCTGAGATTTGCAGCCCAGGACTGCAACTAGAAGAAAAGCATGCCACAGATTTCTGCCTGACTGGAACAGCCCACAATTTTCTCTGCAGGGAAAGCTGTTGTGAAATCATGGCTATTACTGCTTAGTTGGCATTAAATAAGATCCAGGTCGAATTCCGTTTGATAAATCCCAGGGACTATCCAGGAATTTTTTTAAACTGGATATTGTGTTTGAGTATGTGAGTATTCTGATAAGACTTAGAATTTTTTTTTCAAGATACAGCAATTAAAAGTTTAATGTTACAGTGATCTAACATATATTTAGTCTACTCTTGCCAGTGAGCACCAAGAACCAAATTGGTAAGACTGAGGCTTTGCAGTCTAAATTCTGGGGTTATAGGATCAGCACTGTATTTGCTAGACAAAGAAAGCTACTCAGATTTGTCTTAAAACTTTTAAATTACTATGGTTATGATAGGCCCAGTATGATTCTCCTAGACAGACCAGATGGATAGTAGTGTTAACTTACTACCACAGTTACACATCATCTACTCTCCAGCCCACTTTTTTTTTTTTTATCAGCAAAGAAATAGGAGAGGCCAGCCCTTGCTGGTGCTTTACTTGTTATGAGTGATCTAGAAGCACGATGTGTGGCATTAACACAGTACCCAGGCTCTGCAGAGTACTGAGGGATTGCCTTTTGGGACCACACTATGTTCAGAGAGTATTTTGTCCTTACTTGTACCATTTTACCAGTTGAATTCCAAACATTCAATGATTTTCTTGTTCCCTTCTTTAACTAGCTCTTTCAACTGGGATTCACATAGTCTTGAAAGCATAGGAAAGAAGTGGATGAGAATTATAGGCATAGATATAATATCAAGGGCATTTCAAGACAGAGCTTTTATTTCTTGTGATAGGCTTGTTGCGGCAAAGGAAATGTGCTGCTAAAAATCAAACTATGCCATTTTAAAATTAAATAAAATACAGAGTGCCATCTTGTTAGGTATATGCAAACTAGAAAGAAATTTAGTTGGGGAAATACGTGGTTTTCCAAATTCTGGTGTTCTATTAAAATCAAAGAAGAGAAAAGGAAGATTTTTTTCTCTCAGACTTTAATATATTTTAAATTCGTTTCTGTTTTATAGATATTCAACACTCCCACATGGATGTTTTTATATTATATGAATTTAATAATGAACTAAACTTATTTTTGTTCTCTGTTATTGAAAGGTACCAAAGCTTTTTTCTGTTTTGTTTTGTTTTTTAATTTGATTTTGCTGTATATGGTTTTGCTTTTTCTAGAAATGTTTTTTCATTCAACAGCTCTTCTTAAGTGTCAGGGCCCACATTGATCTGCATTATTGATTTTAGATTTCAGTTTATACTCATTTGTCTCTAAAGGCATTGATGAAATCTCAGATTTTATATTCAACATTCAAGAGGAATAAATTCCAGAAAACACATTCTGAAAATGGAGTGTTTCTTCCTTACCATTTTTCTAATTTTAGTTGTTTAGTTAAAACCTTCCCGTTTAGTTGAGATACTGTTTCTCTTCCCATCCATGAACAACATACCTGCAGATTAGTTGTAAAAACGCAGACATATCATTTGACCAATCAAGGACACACACATGTACAGTGTGTGTGTGTGTGTGTGCGTGCGCGTGTGCATGCATGTGTGTGTGTGTGTGTTGGGAGGTGACCACAGAATCATTTTACATAGCAACCGTAACCAAGAATGGCATTAATTCACTAGTCCCTTGGTTGGTTCAAGTAGATGACTGTTTCCTGAGTACACTGAAGCCACAAGCTGGTGTTCCCCTAATTGGGGGGCAGAGAACAAGCACAGTGTAGCCGCAACCCTTAAAAGCAGAGTTGCCTTTGATGCAGCCACCTCTGAAAGCAGAAGAAAACATTTCTGAAGGCAGTGTCTAAGGTTGATCTCATCACTGAACTATTTCAAACCTTAAACACCATGACAGAGGGAGGGTGAGGGAGGAGATAAAAAAGAACAGCCTGTAAGTTTGCAGAATGTGCTAAATCGTGAAACCAAATAAGACAATTAATCACCACCCACTCGTAACCCAGATTTTCAAAGTTTTCCTAGTTCTTCTAGAAATGCAGGTTATGTTAGTTTGGCATCCTTTGAATCAGCGGAGCTCTTAGAATGTTATGGGTAGTATCTGAGCAGTACAACAATCTCCACCCTGAAGGATGAGAGAAACGGAGAAACACAAGTAGCAGTTACAGCCAAGTGGTGAATGATAGAGATAAGTGCATAGCACCTAAGGTGATGGGCATCATCTGAAACATCATATATATTCTTTTTCTATGTTTGTTATGACCATTCCAATTTAAAATTACTTCATACATACAATGGAATATATATGCACATACATATCTATATATTAAAATATAAAGGGTGTAATAAACTCCCGTGTGCCCGCCACCAGTTTATTGCCTTTCTTTTGAAGCACTGTTTGCTCTTCTCTGATCCTGTCCTGTTTCTGTTTGATGATGGGAGCCCCTCTCCTGAACTCTGTGTGTTAATCATAGCCTTTCTGTCCTTTATCATTTTATCTCCATGTATGTATGCATCCTTAAATCATAATAAACGGGATTAAACTGTATTCTGTCGATTCATTTTTATGTTCATAGCAATTGAGTGTTATCATTTTAAAACAAGTACCCTAGTTTGTTTATTTTCACTGCTAAGTTTTATTTCATTGTATGACTATATCACAACTGTCCCCTTCTGTTGCTGGATGTTGAACTGCATCATTCTTTGAAACAGTAAAAGGAGTCTATGGCCATGCTACCCTGAACAACCGCGATCCCATCTGATTTCAAGCTAAGCAGGTTCAGGCCTGGTTAGTACTTGGATGGGAGACCACCTAGGAACACCAGGTGCTGTAGGCATAAAAAAATTAAAAAATAAGGGACTGTAAGCTGATAAGGTCCTTGCAATCGGTGAGGTCAACCAAGAGTTGCCTCGCCTAAAGGAGAGAGAGAGAGAGAGAAGG